AGTAATTTAATTAATTAAAATGAGGATAAAATTCATGTAAATTGATCCAAATATTCGATACATTCCTGGTTTATCAGACAACCATAATTATGTGGTTGATTGGTGTCTGCACTATGGAGAGTCATTCAAATTACCTAGGATAAGCACCTCAGTTGTTTGAATCAAGGAGGAGTTATGGGAAGTTACTCTCTCTGCTAGGGTTCAATTATGTGGTGTCCTCACATAATGCAACAGATGTGGCTGCAAGGACTAAAGGGAATCCTTGTGTGTTAGGAGAAGCAGACTTAGTCTGAATAGTCTGCTTGTGGTGAAACATGATTATACATTTCCATGTTTGTTCAAGTTTTCTCCAGATACCTGTTAGAGGGAATCTCCTATTTAGGTGCAAAAGAATGGTATCCAACATCTCAAAGTCAGACAGGAGGTCTGAAGTTTAGAAGTTTAAGAAGAAGATTCTTGAGATGTGTGATATGAAGGTTTCTGCATGTATGTATGATTCGGTGTGGAAAGTTGATCAGCTACTGATGGTTGATCCTCTTGTATCCTTTACAAGAGTTATGGATTACTATGGTGTCTCCAGACCATAGTTAACGGTGAAATCCATGTGTTTGAGACTGATGTCGCATCCGATGTTGGAACATCATCTCAAAGGTTGTGTTATTCCTTCAGCCAAGGAAGTTCTTATTATCCAGAGTGGAGCTAAGGTCAAGCTACTGACTTAATCTAGAATATTTTTATGACATGAATGAATGTCATCAGTTGGTGCTAGACGTATGCAGAAGAAGGAAGTCAGACCAAATGTCCTACCTTGTGTGAGAAGGTAATCTTATTTGAATTTTGATAAATACTTTGACGGGAGCCGAATGTTTATTTTTCCTCTAAGGAGGTTGTCCAAGAAAACTGGTAGTGAATACTTTGATGGGAGACTAAGAGTTTTTGAGTGACTTCACACCTAGTATGCATGACATCCTTCCTTTTCAAAAGGTCATGGTACAAAGTGTGGTTATGAAAGGACAGTATCCAGATGTGTCCTTGAATCAGAGTCCCTGGAAGTATTCTCAAGGAGTGAGAATATCGGACTCTGGTTTGACTCTACTGAGGGAGTCGAGGTTCAACATATACGGGAAATGCTGAAGTCTTTCATCTAGTACTCAAGCTTTCATCTTCAGTTGGAGTATTGGTTATTCATGACAAGGGGAGTCATGCATTTGTCTGTGGATTGTTGCTGCAATGGTACAAATTTTGTTAGAGTGTTGTTCAAGCTAGTGGAGATCTTATGCCTCATACTAGGATGTGATGACAAACAACATGTTGCGACATTATGAAATTATTTATGATCTTGACAAGGCATGGTTGGTCTTAGCCATGTGAAGCTGGTGGATCAGAAGTTCACATATCTCTCTAGTGATTAACGATTATGTCTAGGAGAATTTATTTTTCTCTGCAGATGCTAAAAGGACTCTTCGGGTCCTTATTATTGACAAATGTCACAAATATGATGTACTGATATCTTGGTGAGTATCACTAAGTCTAAGTGAAAGGAGAATATTTAAAATCCAGTGGAAGACAGCGTGGATGAAAATGTGTTGGTTAATACTGGCAAAAGAAGAAAATGTCTGACTAAATGTCAGGACATTATTCAGGACATGTTTCCCGTGTGACCAATAAGGGAGTGTTACGACACTTTATGATCAAACATGTATCAGAAGGTGCGTTTGACCATGCATGTGCATGAATTGGAACTGGAACTGGTTCTTTTCAGCAGAAATAGTCTAGAGAATTTAAAGGCGTTCAAAGTTATTTTGGACGGTGCACTTTGATGTAAGTGGCAGTTTTGTCCCTCAATTAACGTCACTTTGACCAAGATCGTTTCATTCAAATATTGTTAATTCCTAAGAAAACTGCTCAGCTATTTATAGAGGTCTCTCATGTCCTCTATATCCATGTGAGTGTTGGATTTTGTTCATCATCCCTATGGGTTTTGTTCAGGTCTTGGTAAGTTGTTTCTGGGTCTGGTTTTATGAAGGCTTCCTTTGTCAATTTTTGGCGAAAAGGGGGAGAAAGGGTGTACTCATATGGTCATTCTGGAATCTACAGCTCCAGATGTTGCTTTCAAATGTCAAAAAAGATATTCCATCTCATGGTCGTGGCTTGTTATGGTCATTTATGGTTTTGTGGCCTGTGATCTGAGTTATGAACACAGTTGTGACATGTGTTCTGAGTTACCGGGGTGGTGGTTGATTTGTCTAGGTCCTGCAAGTAGGGAAAATCCAAGATCCTTGAATCTGTAAATTCATGCGTTTATAGTGGTACCATTAGATACGTCTATTTGAGACGATCACAACCATATGCTCATGAAAAGTTTATATAAAGCACAACATAGTCAATTTGGAAAAAAACATAGATGTTTAAAAATGTTAAAATAAAAAATCAGAAGCATCAAATGCATTATTTCACCAAAATTGAGTTAAGAGCAAGCATCCGTGAACATCATCGGCCATTCCAGTAATTTGAGTTAGAAGATTTGGTGTCTTAAACCACCTGAATGAAGTCAGGTGAACTTTCTCTATAAATGGACTTGGCTAGCACGATTAAGGGTACCTCAAGGCTTGATTCTTCTTCTGTTAGCTTCAGTGAAGATCAAGGATGAAAGATCAATGAAGAATTTGGATTGAAAAGTGGAGAAAAAAGGAATTCGAAATCTCAGAAAAGTGAGTTATGGAGGGAGTTTGATATAGTGATTTTGGTTGTTCTAGCTTGTAAAAATGAGTGGAATAGAGCCTGTATTTATAGGAGAAGTGAATGGAATTAAGAAGATGGGGTGAATAATGCAATTTCCCTTGAGTTCGTGCACACCTTTGATCATGAAAAAAGTGTAATCACATGTGTATTAAAACTCAATCAAACGATGCATTTTATCATTCTAAATTATCCAAACATATTTGCTAATCATGTTTAAGTGGGAAACGCATGGAAATTTAGTGATTAGAAGCCATATTATGAATTTCAAATTTTGACTTTGGAGAAAACTTCAATTTCAAGGTACCATCTTTGAATCCATGGTATTCACGGATCAAGGGGTCATAGGGCATGATTCTTAAAGCATTTAAAAGATAAAGTCATAATCTTTGCAATGTGCCAAGAATGAGATCAGATGGATGTTTGAGCTAGAAGTTGTGATAAGTCAAAGTTGAGAAAAAGATGCTGACTTTTTATACTTAGAAAAATTCTAAGTTTTTCTTCAAAAGTGATCTATAATGTTTTGAGTTCAAACAAGGCCGTCCTCTAAAATTGAGCTTTGATCATTAATGCTAGCTTGAAGTAGACTTCCCAAAGATCATTGTGAAACTTGAATCACTCAAAAATACCAAGTATTGAAAAAGTTATGGCCTTGTAAAATTGGTGAAAATTCATGAGGTGACCTATAATCTTTTGAATTCTTAGAGCATCTTCCACTCATTTTCAAGCTTTACACATAAAATAAGAGTTGAAGTTCACATCCTTAAGATCATTGTGGAAAAATAATGGGCTCAAGTAGATAAAAATTGACCAAGTTGTGAACTTTTGAAGTCACATAAGAGAATTTGATAGCCTATCTAGAGAACGTGTAATATTTCTTCATCATTAGGCATCTTCCACACAAAGTTTTCTTGAAACTTTTGAAATGATTTGTTGATAATCCTTTAAAGAGAAGCATATCTTTGGAATCACTCAAAAATCTCAAAAGATGAACAAGATATAACTCTTAGAAGTTCAAAACCCTAGCTCTTAGAGCACCAAAATGCCTTGGAAACCCCTTTCAATTTCGACAATCTTTCTTGCACAATCACTTTTGCCATGTGAATAGAAGTTGTTGAGGATTATAATAAGAAACCATAACAACAATAACCACTTCCAAATATTAAGAATTGAAAGAGTTATATACACTTGTGATCAAGGAATCAAGAACTTGTCCAATTCGGTCAAACCTCTTCAATCAACCTTTGCATCTTTTGACTTTCTTTGACAAATTGAGGCATGATGAATCATAGTATACCTTATTATGATGTACTTTAAAGCATCCTCAATGTTGAAGCTTGAATCTCAATGAAGTTTTATTAAAGAAGACATGAAAATAAACTCATGAACATATGTATCAACCTGATGAAATGTGTTGTGCCCTCACCTATAGTATCATCAATTAGAGCAAACATCCATTGTATTTGTTAGTTAAAAGTTAATCAACACAAAACATATATGTTCATAATATACAAATCAAGGTGCTTGATGATTCCTCATGAGCAAACGTAGAGATAGGGGGAAGAATCAAACCTTAGTGTGATCTTGATATGATTGAGTTGATATGAAATGATAGAGGAATTTTAGAGGTAAAAATTGATGTACAACAGGGTGCAATTAAGGTGTTTGATGAAATGTCTCTTAGAATTTTTTTTGAATTTGTTAGAGAAGGTTTGTAACCCCTGCAATCTAAAATATTTTTTAAATTTTTGACAGTTGTCTTTGTCACGTCAGCTTCCGTTAAGGAAAATTGACAGCAAAGACAAAAATTATGAATGAAAAATTTTAAAAAGACCAAACAAATACATTTATAAATATCTCCTCTACTCCACTCTCCTCGATCTACTCCCAACCAAACAAACTATAAGTTAATTTAAAAATAAAAAGAAAACATAACGGCTCTTAACCGTGTAGTCCCCACAGAGTTGCAGCAGTAACAAACCATTATGCGATCCAGCTTTACACACATTCCACTCGCCAATCATCACGTCACCTAATTTATCGGCTACAACGTTCACTTTTTTCATGTCGGCTTTCGTTTCGTCGCTTTCTTCAACCTCATTCACAAATAAATATCCTTTTCTCAATTTCCATTTTTTATTTTAAAATACAATTGCATTTTCTTTCTTCGTTCTTCCACGCAAGACGCTACTTGTTCACACGTCAATGCCGCACTTCGCATTTTGAGCTTCCCACTCAAAAACACGTCACCATTTTCCGCCATGTTGGATGGACTACTCGGCAAAACCTTCGCCGCTAAATGGTTCCCTCCGTCGCTTCATTTTCATTGTTTTTTTTTTTTCCGTTCGTTTGTTCATGAAGTGAATTCAGTTATATATGCTTCTGTTTATATCATACCTGTTACTGTTATTGCTTTTCAGTAAACCGTTACTAAAATTAACCAAGAATCGGATTGAAGTCATAAGAAGGAAGCGAAGAGCTACAGAGAAGTTTCTCAAGAAAGATGTCGCTGATCTTTTACACAGCGGTTTGGATATCAATGCCTACGGAAGAGTAATTCCTTTTGTTTTAAGCATTTTTCTCGATTAGGTTATATTGTATTCTATCTGGCGCCGATACCTCTGAAAAAAGATGTGTCTGTATCGCTGACACAGTGTCGGTGTTGTGTTTCTGGTGTCAGTGCTTCATAGATTTGATTTGATTATTTGTAATGTGATGTAAATTGTGAGGGTTGTTTGTTGAAAAGTGCGTGGTGGCGAGTTTTCATTGCTTATTTGAGGCTTTTATAGTTTTGATTGTGTTATGGAATTATTTCAATGAGTTTTGTTTTTCTTGCAATGTGGTTAAATTAACAGGCGGAAGGACTCTTGGTTGAGTTGATGCTGTCATCTTGTTATGGTTTTGTGGAGAAATCGTGTGAGCTTCTGTTGAAGCATCTATCAGTCATGCAGAAGATTAGGTAACTAACTATCTTCTACCTAAATGGATATTCATGATTCATGTCGTTTTCTCTTTCTTTATTTTTCCTCTCAATTTTCATTTGATATTAGAGTTTTGGCTGAGAAAGTTCGTCCGTTTGCGAGGTTTTTTTATTAGTTATGTGTGGAATTTGGATAATGGATTAGAATAATGCTTTGGCTAGGCACTGTTGTTTCTTCCGATATCATCATTAACACATGTCCTAATTGTAGGAATTTCATCGTTTTTAGAGTAAAACGTTTTGTGCTTTCTGTTAATGCTGCCGTAATTTATGAAAATAAAATTGCTGTAATGGTCACCAACATCACTCACAGGAAGCACTGTGAATATCAGTGTGTAGCCGTGTATCGATTTACATACATGTGGCTAAATATGGCTTTGGCCTTTGTGAGTCCTAGCCGTGTATCGATTTACGTACACGTGGCTAAACATGGCTTTGGCCTTTGTGAGTCCTGTTTTTCTATGATTTGGAATCCATCATATGAATTGGAGTAAACGATATTGTAATAGTGATCTTGGTGTGACTGATAAACTTGTATGAATAAATTGATAATTGAGACATTTAGTTAGTTAATGTTATAAGTGTGGGAGGAGGCACATTTGAACAATTACTTTGTGGAATGTTGATGTTGAATTTCTGTTTTTTTTTAGTCAAAAAATTTTTTTGGTCCTTATAATTTAGAAATGTCACCTGTGTTCATTTTTTCCTGTACCAAAAGAATTTAGTTTAATCTTTTTATGAGCCATTTGAGTTTTTGAATGTCATCATCCCTGTTGCTGGGATAACTTAGTAGAAATACTGTGAAGTACAAGGATCAAGTTGAAAATGTCTTCGAAGATATAAAGTAACTTTGTGACAATCATTTTCAGTTTGGACTGATTTAACTCCAATAAATGATATTACAATATCAAAATATAACAAGGACCAAAATGAAAACAAACAATTATGTGTATATATACAAACCTTTTTTGTACTGGTGAAAATTGAAAACTAATGTCATAGAGATCGAAAATATGTTTTGACATATCTATAGTCTATCCATTTATTTTACGGTTGACAGATATGAATTTGTTGTGGACACCTAGTATTAGCTATGCACAGATATCCCAAAATTATAATGACTAGATAGCCTTTTATAACTTTCCTTAAAAATCAGAAGTTTTAATAATTATATAACTGGTTCCGTTTCTTTTACAGTGGCTGCCCTGAGGAATGTAGGGTGGCAGTATCATCTTTGATGTTTGCAGCTGCAAGATTTTCCGATTTACCAGAGTTACGTGACCTTAGGCAAATATTTCAGGAGAGATATGGGAGTTCCATTGAGTGTTTTGTCAATAAAGAGGTGACTACTCATATTTATAATTTTATTAGTACTTTATCTATCAATAACTTCTGGTTTCTTGCAAGTTGCACTCGCTGACTAAATTCCTAATTATCAGTTTGCTGCAAATTTGAACTCAAAATCTTCTACATTGGAGAAGAAGGTCTGCTTGATGCATGAAATTGTATCAGAGTTTTCAATAAACTGGGACTCCAAGTCTTTCGAGTTAAGAATGTCAAAACCATCTGCATTTGCACAGGTGCATTCTTTTGTATTCCCTTTTCATTTTTGACTAGCTTCAGTGTCAGATTATAACTTTGAGAATGTATCTAAAGCTGTTATTATTTGTAATAAATTACATGTACAGGATCGGAGTGCTATTTTATGTAACAATTTGTGTGATTATGAGAAATCATCATTCAGCAAGGATTTTAACCAGAAAGATGTAACAAATGATGTTATGTTGGAGAATCACAAGGAAGATGGTATCCCAAATATAGATTGTCATGATCTTCAGCATCAATCCACTGTCCTTGGAAATGGATTCAAGCCACTAAATGGTCGTGAAGTTCTTGGGCAAAAGGATGGCCATGATAATTATTTAACAGGAACGGAAGGGGTTACTGCTACAAAGACTGATAGAAGCTATCGGAAGGAGGGTAGTATGCTAAAACAAATTGGACGTTCATTTCTGGAGAAAAAATTGGAACAATTTGAAGATGGTTCCAAGCTGCATGACAGTTTGGGGAATACGACTCCAAAAAAAAGCCAGGACACTACAACTTCTACTCGAGTAGGCTCACGTTTCAAGAGTAATGCGAAGCAACCGCGTGCTGAAATACCTATGCACAAATTTGAGAGAAAAGTTCAATATGATGAAATGCCTATGCCAAAGCCTTGCTTTAGTAATGTCATTCCACCTCCATATGTTAAACATAATTCTAAGCATCAGAACACAACACGTGGAGTCAATATTGTATCTTCACATGCTGATAGTGACGGTTTCTTTACATGTCCTTCGGTTCATGAAAACTCTGATGCTGCTTCCATGTCAGGAAGGATCCAAATTGGTTCGAATGAATCTGACCTTAATTGGAAGGCAAGTAGACACACAAGACTGAGCAAACAGAGTCCTAAAAATGAATACTATTTTCCTGAAGATGCTAAAGAAATCCTTATGGTAAAACCAAAATCTACAAGGAGGAAGCACTCAAGATCACGATCTAGTCACTATGATGCCCCTAATGTAGATACTGAACTTGTGAGAAAAGCAAGGAGCAGAAGCAAGAGACGAGGTGAATCAAGACGTGGTCAGCGAAATTTGTTTGAGGATGAGCGGCATCAAAAGGCTGAAGAGGAAAGAGTAATAGATAAGTTACTGATTCATTATAGCAATAAACCATCTATTCTAGTTCCTGAAATAGTAAGAAAAAAGTCAAACAGTCACCATGAACGTAAAGTGGATAATTCAACGAGGGAACTAATGCAGAATGGAAGTGGAGATGGATCTGATAAGACACCAGAGATTGTTACTCTTGCCCTACGATCAGTTTCTCTTCCCCGTGAACAAACTAGAGTAGTAGAAGCTAAGAAAGAGTTTGTTCGTGCTGCCTCTTTTCAGCCAAATATGTTGCATGACGTTCGGCATGTGCATCCCAAGCTACCTGATTATGATGATTTAGCAACTAGGCTTGCTTCCTTGAGAGGATCATAAGGTAAAGGACAGAAACACAGTTAGTAAATGCTCCTCCCTCATCAGCATGATTGCATTTATTATGATTATCACACTTCAAACTAATATACTCCCTCCCAATGCTGCTTTTATTGCAAATTGTTTACTTTTTTGGATCTGTACCAAGTCATCATAGGGTGGTCTTATATGTGGTCATTGACAATCTCCCACTACTATAGGATAATATCAATTCATGACTGTAAAAGTAGCTGTAAGTCATACCAAAAGTTGCCGGTGTTCCTACACTCTTTGGGTTGAGGCTGAAAGGATACTGAGATGGGCTCTATTGCTGCAGAGCTTTTGCTCATCCCTTATTCTTTGCTCCTCCCTTTGTACAATGTTACTATTGTATTTAAACATATATTACTTTATAGTAGCATAATCTGAACTAATAATGTCATATTATTGTTTTATTGGGCTTGAAACGTGCCTGCTATGCTATGCCTTTAAACTGCATTACTGAAAAACGTGATGCCCAAGTTATTCGTTGGATACATCCGAACAGGAGATTTTCCACTGTGAAACCCCCCAAGTGTTGTATATGATTCACCCGGTCTCTCCATCCAAGCTTGTTATATATAGTTTTCCTCAAAACCAGCCTCTTCATGGAAGGAATTTTTTCTCAGCCTTAGTCTTTCTAAGCTAACAGCAAGTAGTTTTTCGTTTCTTCGACTCCAGCCTCTTCATGGCTAGCAAAAACTCATCCCTGCAGATTTTACAACAAAATAGTGTAATTCTTAAATGAGCATGTGGATATACAAATATAAGCTCGACATCAATTAACAAGACCACTCTCCAATGAAAGCACTTATGAATCTCTTTCTTTATAATTTTTTATTCTAATCAGCCTTCTATTTTGTTGCTCTTTTATAGAGGTAGGAACTGATCCCTGTCTGTCTCTTAAAGGATGAGTTCAAAAAGCATATTTGTCTTGAAAGAAATATTTATATTTCTTGGTCTCGTATTGATGCTACTTCTATTCTTCTATTTCTTTTAAATGTTCCCCATTTGTACATTGTTTTTTTTTTCTTTTTAAATGATTAGAAACATTTTGGGAAGTTGTAGAACAAAATTGCAGAAAATGTCCTAGCATCTGAAAAATTCTGATAAAACATTAGCTAACTCATCTTGTCTGTGAGTCATCTTATCGCATCAACTCTGTTTTTTGACAGTAACTTCTACATTTTGATTGAGCAGATCCCCTTTCTCAAGCATTCACAATTTGTTTTGTTTAAGTTGTTTCATTAAAATGTTTATCTTGCTCTCCTTGAAGTCTTATCAATCTTCTCTAACAGGCTAAGATATCATACCATCCTTTAACTCTTTATTTCAAATTAAGGCTTTACATCTTTTAAGCATTTCTAAAACTAGGAAATAAAATGCAAGCATGAAGTGAAAGAATATTGAAATGTTTTGAATTTTACTAAAGAAGTTCCAAGTTAGACCACAAGTTCAGCTGGTGAATGTTTCAATCATTTAATACAGTGCTTGATTATCATCGTGCCTTTCAAATGGATAGACAAATTTGTACAAAATTGGATCTTCTTTAAATATGCAGTGCTTGTTGAATGGAAGCACCAAACATCTTTCCATCTGTTATCTATTTAGTACTTACTACTTATTTCTAAATCATGTAAATGAAATGATTAATCACATATAAATGACATGAGAAGTTTGCCGATACAAAAGTTACCATCTGAGCCACACTTCGGGTGTGAAATCTTACAATGTAGACTGAACAAACATATGTTCTTCTTGAGTATATATTACATTTCATGCGAAAGATTAAAGATTCTTCTTAAGCACAACAAAAAAGTCTTCTTCTTGTTTCTCGAGTTCTGCCATGAAGCTTAATTCCAGTTTGACGCGAAGGGTTGGCTCTTGCCAATCTCTTACCTGCAAAATATTTGTTTCTGTAAGTAAGGAACCTGAACACGAGCATTAGGTATGATGGTCTCAAAAATTTGCAGTGGAGGTTAATGCAGACAGAGGAACAAGGAAATTTCACTACTGTAGATCAATTGGCTAAAATTCATTTTAAGGTATGATATGTTTAAGATAACATTTTCAGTTTTTATTTCTTATTTTTACTTTCAATCGAAAAATTTCCTCTTGTTTGCACTTTGTTTCCAAAATATTAAAGATGGTTGATGTTAAATTATTGTTTCACCTATTTCATAGAAGAGCTCGTTGACATTCTGTGCTGTTTTTGCTGAAGTTTCAAAGAAAGACATGCTATTTTCTTTGGCATATTCCTCACCCTCCTGTAACCATCATAGAAAATATGATTAAATCAGAACAAATTCTTTGGCGTCTTTGGCGCCTAACCTATGAAATTTATAAATAAGCAAATTATAATGTTTAGACTTCAATTTATCGGAAATAATACCTCATTTCCAACTTTTCTCTGGTCTTCTAAATCAGCCTTGTTTGCCACCAAAAACATTATCAAATTTGGATTTGCTGACATAGTTTATCAAATCAAGTAAACTGGTAAATTAGTATTCATAATGTACAGTTGTGACAAATTGCATGATTAATATGAGTATTGTTCAATAGCGGTGTTATAGCATAGTGGAAGTCGAACAAATCGCTATTTAGTATATAATATTGTCAAATAGTGTCTATAGTATTGTGAAGCAAAGTTTGATAAAACAGCTATTTTCTGCGATATGCAATTAACAATGCTGATCAATATTATATACGCCAAGTGTTTACGAATGTTTCTCTTGTTTATTCACGAGATTTGTCTTTTGGCTTTTCTGTTACCTTGTCTTTGCACTTCTCTAACCCACTTCTTTGCCCGTACAAAAGAATCCTGAGACAGAAATTGCACCATTTAATCAGTACCATATGATATGTTGAGATGTACATTTTTTAAGCAAAGATTCAATGTTGAGATGTACATTACACATTCTATTCACGACAGAGAATTATAAATTAGAATTATCTCCATTATGACAAGCTAAATGAAAATGATTGATTGCCTATAAAATGTTGCCATAAACATCTCTATGAAAGTTGATATTTATTTACCGTGCTTGTAATGTCATAAACAATAATAGCAGCAGCAGCACCACGATAATACATAGGCGCCAAACTGTGGTATCTTTCTTGCCCTGCTGTGTCCCAAATATCGAACTTCACAGTAGCTTCATTTAAAGACAGAACCTGAGTGAAGAATGCTGCTCCAATTGTTGATTCCTGCACACATTCATTCGTAGTAATCCAATTTGAATTATCTATAACGACGTCAAGATGCATAAAGAAAATAAAACAATCATATAGCAACCTGATATTCCGAAAATTGACCTTTCACAAATCTAAGCACCAAACTCGTTTTCCCCGTTCCCATGTCTCCTAGGAGTACCTGGAAAGTCATAGATAATCTCAACAGCTTTAGATGATATTTTTCTTGACAATTAAGCATGCTCTTTTGATCATGTTAAACTAATTAACGTAGGTTGTTTGGTTGAGGAGCTAAGGGATATCGAAGGAATTTTAAACCGAAGGCTCAGAATCCAAACCCTAAAGTACTTGTTAAAAGAACTAGATTCTTGCACAAGAAGTTATTTGAACTAAAATCACTTATACAAGCTATATTTTGCATCTTATGTCCTACTTATGTAACATGTTACTGTTCTGCCCTAATGCCTAATAGGAGTTATTTCAATTCTTTAATGAAGCTGATCCTTATTTTACCAAACAAAGAAAAAAAATCAAAGGAAGACATACCCACCAGTTTGGCTTGTAAACTCTTATTCCTTGCCATAGCTTAGAGCTTAGCTGATGAATGGAAAGAAGAAGAAAAATGACAAAACTCTTTGGAGTTAGTACCAGAGAAAGTATTTCAAAGATTGAAAAGAGAACAACTCAAAAGATTACAATGATATGTTAGCAATGAGAAATGGCAGGTGAAATCGTAGTAGAATGGTAGTTTGTTTAGTTTGACTGGTAAGTAAGCTGATATACATTCTGTTGATATTATCATATCAAATGCTTAAATTTTATATTATTTTGCGTGATACCTTTATTAAAAAGTTACTTTCAACCTAACTGATTTATGTCAACTCTATTTTTTAAAACTTTTCATAAATTAACTCTCAAACATATGCCTATTTTATAAGGTGGTTGGCTACATATCTCCCATAATTGTGTTGTCATAGCAGAACTCATTTGCAAATTATCTTTTAAGATAATTTTGCTTAAGCGAATTCAATTATCATAAGATTTAAATTTATAATTTTAAAAAATATGTATGCTTTGTAGACACATAAAAAAAGATAATGCAAAAAAATATTTAAATGAAAGACATTGTACTTGATGGTTGTTTGTGAGAACGTGAAGATTTGGAATAAGAGATGAAAGTAAGGTTTTTAAAAAGTTTATATGAATAAGGATATTTTTGGTATCATGGTTAAATTTTAAATAGATTTTGATGTAGAATATTGTGGTTAAAAAATTTATACGGATAAAGATATTTTAAGATTATTTATTTGTTTTCAGTTATTTTTTACTTTTTATTTTAAGAGAAGAAATAATAATCTTGGACGTAGAAACAAAGCGTTTACTTGATTCTTTATTTAATTCTTTAGAGTTATGAAATAAATCAACATGAGTGAAGGAAGAAGTTACTTCATCATCTTCATGATTTCTCATAAAATAGATGTTTATTTCATCATCTAGAATATTTCTTAATCCTTATCACTTTCATTCTAAGTTATGTATGCTTTCTTTTCTTTTTTTTTTGGCTTTCTGAATTTTTTAAATTTCCTTTGATTTTAGTTCTAAAGGCAACTTTGCCCTTATATGTCATTCCTTTTTTGCACGATTTTTTAAATTTCCTTTGAATTTAGTTCTGAAAGCAACTTTGCCTTATATGTCATTCCTTTTTCTCAAGGGAAGGAAGTTTGAATGATAATTGATCTTCCTTTACTTTGCTTTAGTTTGTTTTTTTGCGTCTTAAGAATTTTTTGAATTTT